ACTTGTTGACACCTGGCATATCAGTTAATGAACTGAGATAGTGGGCTGCTGGCTCGCCTGAGCAGGCTCCCTCTCCTCCCTTTTTTTTTTGGGGGGGGGGCACTAACGAGCGGGCACACTAGTTGGATGACGATTTGCTTGCCTATTTGTTTTTCGTGGAAGTTCTTTGGTTCTGTTTGGATGTAGGTTGCAATTTTTACCAATTGGGAATTTGTATTGGTTCGCCAATCTTTCTGGGTGCCCTCACCCGTCGATGGCAGACATGACCTATTCTAAATGTAGAGTGCTCATAATGGCCGTTGTTCCCTGCGCCTCTCTGAGGGGGATTAGGTTCTGCCTCTATTCTCCGGTAGGCACTAGAACACCTGGGACTGATGGCACCAAACTAATATGACATATGTCAGTTTGATAGTTTCAGGGAGCCGTTGGGGCTCCCCACAGAAACACTTATATTTTTCTATGGCTACTGTATAATAACTGAATCACTTATATGCTCAAATATTTTTTTGAGTACTGTATGAGCTCGATTATCCAGACTATACGGAAAGTACCCTCATCTGGATAAGCCTAACATCTGTATAAACAGAATTCTTATTTCCACACACACACACACACACACTTAGGTAATTACTTAGGTAATTACACACACACACACTATAATTATTTTGTGGGGCTGGGTGGGTGGAGAGCTGGCTGGTAGATTGAGTATGGCAAGCGGGTGGGCAGACAGATTGATGAGCAAATGGGCTGGATGACTAGTGGGAAAGTGGAATGGATGGATGAATGGCAGGCAGATGAGCTTGATGGTTGGCAGATGAGTGGGCAGGCAGGCGAGTGGGCAGGAAGGCAGGCGGTTGGGTGGATGGGTGGACAGGTAAGTGGGTGGACAGGTAGGTGGGTGGGCAGGTTGATGGGTGGACAGGTAGGCAGGTGGACAGGTAGGCAGGTGGACAGGTAGGTGGGTTGGTGAACAGGTGGGCAAGCAGGAAGGCAGGCAGATGGGCGGGCAGGCTCAGGCAGGCAGGCAGGGTGGGCAGGCTCAGGCAGGCAGGCAGGGTGGGCAGGCAGGGTGGGCAGGCAGGGTGGGCAGGCAGGAAGGCAGGCAGGTAGGCAGGCAGGCAGGGTGGGCAGGCAGGCAGGGTGGGTGGGTGGGTGGGTGGGTGGGTGGGCAGGCAGGCAGGCAGGGTGGGTGGGTGGGCAGGCAGGTGGGCAGGCAGGCAGGCAGGCAGGCAGGCAGGGTGGGCAGGCAGGCAGGGTGGGCAGGCAGGCAGGGTGGGCAGGCAGGCAGGGTGGGCAGGCAGGCAGGGTGGGCAGGCGGGCAGGCAGGGTGGGTGGGCGGGCAGGCAGGCAGGCAGGCAGGCAGGGCAGGCAGGCAGGGCAGGCAGGCAGGGTGGGCAGGCAGGCAGGCAGGGTGGGCAGGCAGGGTGGGCAGGCAGGCAGGCAGTCAAGCATATGGGCACACAGGTGGGCAAATCACACACTCCTTACCCATATCTCCACGCACCCATATGCTACCTTTGCCCTCCCTCCACCCATCACCCTCCCAACCCTAGGCATCACCCTTCCCATCCCTCCCCCATGCCATGATTCCATTGTACCCCTCTCAGCTCTCCCCACCTTCATGCTCTCCCTCCCAACCATCCCCCTCCCTACATCCACCACCCACAACCCTTACCATCAATCAATCCTACCCCCATCCTCCCCATGCATGCTCCCATTCTTCCCCTTCCAGCTATTTCCGGAAGACAGGCTGCCAGGATGCACATGCAGCATAGAGTCTGTGTGACACTGTCAGACAAGACAAAACTGGACAGACAGACAGATGATCATATATCTCCTTCCTGTTTAACCCCCCAGCCCCCCCCCCCTTCTCCATGTTAGCCCTTCCCAACTCACCTACGAGTGTTAACACTTAATGCAGGATGACATAACATAATTTGTGCCTTAGGTTGTGTTAAAACCCATTTTATTTTCTTGTAAATATTTTAATGAATAAATATCTAACCAAATACTGTTCAAATATTATGTTGTATTGTTTAACCCCTTAACTGCGTTGCCTCCAAATATGACACCCCCACAGTGTGCAGGAAATAAATTCTCTGGAAAAAATTAGTTTGATTTTTTAAAGTGTCAAAAACCCTTCCCTCAGTATGGGTATGTAAAAAAAAAAATTGAATTTGTACTTACTTTGGCTGCTATGGGGTCCGTAAGTTGGCGCGTGATGTCATCATTCCCCATTTGCCCGTGACGTACGCTCCCGGGGCCAGTAGGGCGCCTGGGGCGGGGCGCGCGAGTTGCCGCGAATATATTTTTGTTCATTTTTTTCGCACAGTTCCAAATACATTTTATTTGTTTTTACGTGCTAATCCTATGTATAATGAACACGTACACTATATTATGGCAGTAAAACATCCGTACTGTCCGAAGACACTGTTACGTGCATGACACTTGTGTACACATATGCTGCACATATTTACTATGTATCATCCTAATTTATGTATATATACAATCTATTTACACACTATACACTGTCACACACTATATACATTCACCATCAACACACTCAGAACACCTCGAGTGAGAGCAGCCACACCCAGCCAGTCTCCCTCACTCCAACATCTTACTCGGCGACATTGCTCCTCCCACCAGTCTGTTATTGTTCTTATTACACTAATTACACATGTTATATATACCTATCTACATGTTTTATTTACCATAACTATGCAAGTAAGCCGGTATTGTGTCCAAACAGTACAGTTGCCACCATACACTGCATGAAAAATCACACAGCAGACAGAAGACGATGCTACGATTACTACGTAACCTCCCTCACCAAAATAGCTCCTCTCAACATTCTCCTGTTGCTGTTATTACACTATATACACACTGTATATACACATGTACATATGTGTTGCCCATAGTGAACCACTAAGCTAGTGGTTCATTGTTCTTTGAACATTGTACCCAGTCATTATCACACTCAGGCTCTTCTATAACACTATCATGGCTAAATAATACAAGTTATATATATATTTTGACATTATTAGGCGATGCTGTGGTCACACGCTGAACAGCAGTGCTGTGCGCTCATACTGCGAGCGCCAGCCTTGGTTGCTCACACACTTCTGAGGCTCTCACACCCGGGAATGTGAATCACGATTTGTTTAAAGATGGCGTCTGTTTACAAGAGCCCTGACGAAGCTGATGTGAACCCCATGTAGCCGCGGGAGCTTTGAATGGAACGTGAAAAATACAAATACTCGGAGGCGCGTTGCGCAGTTTAAGGGTTAATATTCCTAACTAGCCCTCCATGGCAAAAAGAAAAAATATATGACTAAACAACTTCTGCACCAACTCCAACCCTCCTGAGACCCAACCCTCTCCATACCGCCAACCACCCCTTGCTAGGGATAACATGAGTGTCCATCCCTCTGGTACACAAGGACTGACATAAGCCACTCCCAGTGGCAGCATTTTCTTCATGTCTACACTGATAAATATAGACACCCACATAACATTCAAAGACCCACCACACCCACACCCACATTCAAGGACTCCCCTATACACCCACTCCAGCTTCCCTGCTTGGCTGCCTGCCCATTCATCCTCCCTCCCTGCCTGACTCTCTCCTTCCCTCCCTCCCGCCTGCCTGCCTGCCTCCCTTCTTCCATTTGCTTGCCCGCCCGCCCGCCTGCCTGCCTGCCTGCCTGCCTGTCTGTCTGTGTCTGCCTGCCTGCCAGCCTGCCAGCCTGCCTGCCTGCCTGCCTGCCTGTCTGTGTCTGTCTGTGACTGCCTGCCTGCCTGCCTGCCTGTCTGTGTCTGCCTGCCTGCCTGCCTGTCTGTGTCTGCCTGCCTGCCTGCCTGCCTGCCTGCCTGCCTGCCTGCCTGCCTGCCTGCCTGCCTGCCTGCCTGCCTGTGCGTGCCTGCCTGCCTGCCTGCCTGCCAGGTTCCCTCCTTACTTGCCTGGCTGGCTGGCTGGCTGGTTCCCTCCCTCCTTCCCTGTTTGCCTGTCTGGCAGGCTCCCTCCTTGCCTGCCTGACTGGCTGGCTCCTTCCTTCCTTCCTTGCCTCCCTCCCTCCCTGCCTGCCAGCCTGCCTGGGATTTGGAGAGATTTTTAGGCTTCAAATGTTGACTTATATGCCAGCATATACAATTAGCTCTGTCTATTTGTATCCAGACAAACCTCTGGTCATCCAGATTCAATGGATATTTATCCAGATATGGACATAAAATTACCAAGTTGCGATTTTGTCCGGATGACCCTAATATCAGGTTTAGTGGAATCTGGACAATCGAGCTCATACAGTATATTGATGCTCCACACATTTTATTATAGAAATATAGAACATTACAACCTATTGAATAATATTACAGCAAGAAACAGACAAAAAACAAAGAAAAACCCAATCAGAGGCATTGAAACAATTAGGTAATAATAATATCTTTGTGTCAACTCCCACCATACTGCTTGGCAGGAGCAGACCACCCCAGGGCAAGTATCATGCTAGACTTCCTCACCCTATCATGGCCAAAATATGTCACATACAAATTCCCCCCCCCCCCCATGACCAGGGAAAAATATTGTTAATTTAATTTTTCCTTGCACACAGCAGTATTGCCAGATATTAATAGCTACACCGCATAAGGGTTGTAGGTGAACCCTTGTAAGTTAAAGGAAGTGAACCATTATATGGTGTACACACTGTACTCTGATTACTGTACATGATACCTAAGCTCTTGTCTCTTATTATTTATAATTCATCTATTAAGTCCAAAGAGTTAGAGCAAAATAGATTCTTACAGTATAACCCAACAAAATATAAAATATTTTGGTTAACCTAATTAACATGATAGTTTTTATGCAACCAGTAATTTACATTGAGTAAATTCAAGAAGAAACTTTCAGTCCAATTATTCATAACAAAACTCCCATGACTGACCTGCAATATGCTTTTTAGCGTTAAGAAAAATAAATGTACTGTTATAAGAATAATTCATACCTGACTGGAGTGCTTCTTCTTCAGACTGAGAGCCCCCTGCTGGAGGCCCAGGTCGTCTCATCGTCTGCAGCTTGTGCTCACGGCAGGAGTCAAGCGACCTGCTGCGAGATAGTGTCGGACTCAGTGGTGGTCGTCCAGGGCTGGAGAGGGGAAGTGGGAGAGGGTAAAGGGACAGAGATGTGGGAAATGGAAAAAGGGATAGGACAGGAAGATGAGAGAATGAGGGGAGGGGGGACGAAATATACCAAAACTGTATTTTTTGTAATGATAATGTGAAGAGTTTTTATGTACTTATGAATTATGTGCAAGTTAATCTACGTATATTTATATGTAAATATTTATTCTTTAATTCATTTATGCACAGTAACCGCACACACACTTATATACAATATGAATTTCAGGTGTTCACTACACATACCAAATCTAGCAAAAAATTTAATGGGCTTGCATAATACAAGCATGTTAAGATAATTTAAATGAATGAAAAACATACATAATTTATCATAATATTGTCTATCATAATAAAAACAAACAAAATGTCGCAGCATGAGACATGAACATGTATACACACACCGGCCTTCATGGACAACACAGGGCATTGAAAGATCAACTCATCATTATCTAGTTTGGGGATGGGGATGGATCAATTGGAGGATGCGAGGTTCACAAGTGGTGTCCCAGGTATTATGTATGAACATATTGAGATCAAGTTATAAAAGATGGAGTGATGATTATCTGAAAAAACCAGCAATGAATGTAATGAAACATCAACTTCAGGGTGAGCCCCGGTGACTCCGTGAAGCTATTACACTGATTCAATGCCATACTACTAGGTGCTGTCAGTCGCATAGTTCTTATTGACCTACCGGGGACCATGAGCCAGAACCTGGCACCCTCAGAGAGGCACAGGAAGCAGTGGCCCTATGAACACCTTACATTAGAAAATGTAAGAAAAATAAGGGTAGTAATCAGAGGCAATGTATTGGACTGGAGAAATGTCATGAGCGAGTACCACAGGGTTCAGTTCTTGCACCAATAATGTTCATTGTCCACATAAACAGTATACCAGATGATCTACATGATCTACAGAATTATACGAATATGTTTGCCGATGATGCAAAGATAATAGGGAAGATAAGAAACTTCAATGATTGTCATGCCCTTCAAGAAGACCTAGACAAAATAAGTCTATGGAGCATCACTTGGTAAATGGAACTTAATGTGAATAAATGCCATGTTATGGAATGTGGAATAGGAGAACCTAGATCCAATACAACCTATGTATTATGTGAGAAATCATTAAAGAATTCTCATAAAGAGAGAGATCTAGGGGTGGTTCTGGATAGAAAACTATCACCTCAGGACCACATAAAGAACATCGTGCGAGGAGCCTATGCTACACTTTCTACCTTCAGAATCACTTTTAAATATATGGATAGCGAATTACTAAAGATATTGTTCACAACTTTTGATAGACCAAAGCTGGAATATGTTGCGGCTGTATGGTGCCAATATCTTAAGAAGCACATCAACAAACTGCAAAGACATGCAACTAAATGGCTCCTAGAACTGAAGGACAAGAGCTACGAGGAGATGTTAGAGCCATTAAAAATGCCAAAACTAGAAGATAGAAGAAAAAGAGGCGATATGATCACTATGTACAAAATTGTAATGGGAATAGAAAAAATTGAGAGAGAAAAATTAGAGACCTGGAACTTCAAGAACTAGAATTTATAGATTTAACCCTTAGACCGTGCAATACATATATGGATGATTTCAGTAACAAAACCGGTACTGCACAATACATTAATAGCTGTTTTTGTGTCTAGCGCTATAATTTAAATGCCCAGCGTGGGATAGGGGCAGCTATAGTACAGCCACGACCGATAGTTGGCAGACGCCACCTAGAAAAAAATCGTGGCCAACATTCCTGGGTGTGAGAGCATCAGTACTGAGCGAGTCACCAAGGCTGACATACGCAGCATGAGCGCACAGCACTGCTGTTCAGCTTGTGACCACAGCATCGCCTTAAAATGTCAAAATATATATGTAAATGCTATTATTTAGCGATGATAGTATTAAACAAGACCCTTGACAGTGATAAAACTGACCAGGATTCTGATAATAGTAGGATTGTGGTGATATTTAGCGCTGTGCTCCATGGAGGGAGCTGTGAGGCTGTGGGAGGAAGGTTGGTGGCATTGTCTTCTGACTGTGTGTGGCCAACTTTTATTGACTGCACTCACCATACCAGATTAGTGGTTCGCTATGGTGAACACAAATGTAGATACTTATATATAACGTGTGTTTAGAGTGTAATAACAGCAATAGGAGTAGGTTGAGAGTCGCCATTTTGGTGAGGGAGGTGTGTCATCTACACAACTTGTCATGTTGTTTACTGGTGGCCACTATAGTCTTTGGGCACCATACCAGCTTTTTTGTACACGTATGGTGAATAAAACATGTAGATACTTATATATAATGTGTGTATATAATGTAATAACACCACAAACAGTATTGTTGGAGGAGAAATATTAGTGCGTCTGGCCTTGAGGGCGGCCGCCACCAACTGACTGTGGAGTAGCTACGTCTTATTGCCTTTACTCACCATACAAGCTTAGATGTACAGTTATGGTGAACAAAACATGTAAATACTTATATTTAACATCTGTGTATAGTGAATAAAAGCAAAATCAGTACGGTGGGAGGAGTATGTTGGCGAGTGAGGGAGTGGTGGCAAGTGGCTGGCTGGCTGGTGAGTGACGGCCACTCTTCGTTGCTTTTTGACTCACAATACCAACTTAGTGGTTCATTATGGTGAACAAAACATGCAGATACATATATATAACGTGTATATAGTGTAATAACAGCAAAACTATATGTTTATTGTTTTATGAACATAATAATTGAATCACTAAAATGAACAATAATTTTGAGTACAGCGATGGTTCACACATTAAAATGATATAAATATATCACAAAACACACTATTGAATAATATTACTGCAAAAAACAAAGAAAAAATCAGAGACATTGAAATAATTAAGTAATATCTTTATAGCAACCCCCGCTTGGCAGCTCGGGCAGAGCTGACCTCGTCTACCAACTGCTCTGTCAAAGCCTCTTTTTTTTACCACACTTCCCCACTCTATTGCGCCCAAAATATGCCACCTACGATTTTTTTTTCCCCCGTGATCAGGGAACACAAACACTTCTATAAGACAACAGAATTTTTGGGAAATATTTTTTTTGTTGTGCCTGTGGGTGTTGAAGCCATTATGAGCCATAGCGGCTCAAGGGTTAAACTTAGTAAGCAAAGCTGCCGAAGGAATATAAGAAAATTCACTTTCGTAAACAGAGTGGTAGACGGTTGGAACAAGTTAGATAAGAAGGTGGTGGAGGCCAAAACCGTCAGTAATTTCAAAGCGTTTTATGATAAAGAGTACTGGGAAGACGGGACACCACGGGTGTAGCTCTCATCCTGTTACTACACTTAGGAAATTACATTTAAAGTTATTCATGTCTGCCACCACCAAGGAAAAGTACCCAGAAATGCAGCAAAACAAAACAGACTATTGCATATTTAGAATAAAGATCGCAGCCTCAAAATTGCCAAAAGACCCTGCTCCCAACAATGTAAAAAACTACTAGGATTTTGTGAAACTAGTGTGAGCTAGTTCACCCCACCTCCCTCCCTCATTTAGGGGGGAGGAGGGAGGCAGGCCGGATCAGCCAGCTTCTCCACCACCAGTTTTTATGATGATGAAAACACCCTGACGCCATGGGGGAAAGAGGGCGTCAGGGAGCCACCGGGACTCACCCAGAAATTGGCATTTCATAACATTCAATGCTGGTCTTGTTGCAACCCGTTCTCGCAAATTTAATAAGTCAATATTGACTTATTAGTTGCGTGCATAGGTGACATACTAAATATAATAGTTTCCCTTGAAAAGCTTCATAGAAAACACCGACCTTACCTAACCTACTTAGTGTTAAAATAAGCATCTTATAGCTTCGTAATTACAATTGTTACTTAACCTATTATAGGTATAGGTTAGGTAATAATTGTAATTACGAAGCAATAAGATGCTTATCTTAACATACTAAGTAGGTTAGGTAAGGTCGGTGTTTTCTATGAAGCTTTTCAAGGGAAACTATTATGTTAAGTATGTCACCTATGCACATATTTAATAAGTCAATATTGACTTATTAAATTTGCAAGAACGGGTTGCTTTTTTAGGGGAGCCATGGAAAAGAAAAATCCAGTGTCGAATGTAATAAAATGCCATTTTCTGGGCGAAGACCTGGAAGCTCCCTGAAGCTATCCGAACTGATATGTGCTATATTAGTTTGGGGTCATCAGTCACAGGAGTTCTTATGCCTACTGGGAACCATGAGCCAGAACCTGGTTCCCTCAGAGAGATATAGAGAGCAATGGTGTATGAGCACTTTACATTTAAAGTGTGTCATATTCCGCCAATGACCGGAGTGGACAACCAGAATTTAGGCGAACCAAAACAAATAGCCCTTAAAATTGCAACCTACAGCCAGAAAGAGCAAAGAAACTCCTGCTGAAAGCAAAGATAAAAAAAAAAAATAAACGAGCAACCCTGCCCGCAACTAGTACTCCCGGTCAATAGCATATTTCCTCCTACCCGACAAGGGAGAAAGGGAGCTGGCGCAGACGAGCTGGCTGGCCACCACCTCGGTTCTTGGCATGATGTAAAAAACCACCGACCAGAACGGGGAGGGTGTCAGGGAGCCTCTCCCAGAAAATGGCATTTAATTACATTCTTCGCTGGATTTCTAGGGGAGCCCCGTCGGCTCCCTCAAGGTAACTAACCACAGATGAGGAAAACAGGGACATACCTGGGAGGCGGCAGTACCGCAGGGCTCAAGTCAAAGAAGAGACAGATGGCCGTGACAGACGCCCCAAAGCCACACACAGCCGGAGAGGGCTTGGAACATTCGCTAGATATCTGGCGGCCAGGACCCCGTTCAACTTCCCAAAACCCCTGTGCCTGAATGTCAATTCCGAGACATTGTTTTTAAAAATCATGACGAGCGCAGTGCATTGCCGTATGGCAAGGGCACGAGGGTAGACCACAGGATGGTGGAACTGAAGGACACTGCAGACAAC